TCTTCAGTCTCTCATAAAACCCTGGAAGTGATTTAAAAATTTTGTTGAAATCATTTCCAGGAAGATCATTGAGAAAGACGTGCAATAGAGGTGGCTTTCGGTTCAAGCTGTGACAGGTTTTGTGAAGGGCATCTAAAATTTCCCATGTAGGCAAAAGTGCGTTAGGCCCGGTAGAGCACCCCATATCTGTAAATCTGATGCAGTCTGGGAAGTTATTGCAATAGAATTCAGTCATGGTTTCTTGTAGCAGGGGCTTAGCTTTCAAGATGACCTCTTTCTAAAAGATGATGGTGCAATTGATCAGTGAATACATAACAGGGGGCAAAAAAGAGAGAAAGGGAGAGGAATTGATCCGACTGACCTGTTGTGAAGAGTTGTTAGCATAGCTATTATCTCCATCTCCTCCATTCATATGTAGAACTTGCTCTAACTCCATTATTGCCTTATGTCTTAACACCTCACGCATCAAACCACCAAGATCTAGAAAAGGCTGCTCTTTGGGATCGTCGTTCGATTATTATGGAGACGTGTAAGATTAGGATGATATATAACTGTTGATTAACATACAAAGTTAAGTTTTGATTAAAGTCACGGCGGCTCCCATTAAGTCAATTAATGACGTATTTCTAGGGAAGGCAGTAATTGTTGTCCTTATCAGGAACAGTTTCTCAACCAATCCAGGGCCGATGTGTACTTGCATTTGCAGATAAGCTAAACAAGATCAACAATGGGCCAAATGTAATCACACTTTTTACTCCATTTTTATTATTTTAGTCGGCACATTATAGAATATATACATTTCTTTATCTTTAAGTGTCTTAAAGTTTTAAAGGAAACTACTTTAAATAAATTGACAGTTGGTAGGGATGAGGATGGCATCCAACAGAACTGTATATCAATTGATGTTGATGCTCGTTTTTTGCTCCAACGAATTGTCACGTGCGTAACGTTGATTGGTTGTTAAATACACGTGAAAATTGAATATATAAAGCGAAATAAATGCAAGGGAAGTTTTTTAAGTGGTTCGGATGCTAAGGTAGCAAGTCCTACGTCCACTGATTTGTATTGATATTAGTGTGGGTCAGGCCGCAACTGCGGACTGACTTATAAAAGAGTTGGAAAAAGTAAAATGTGTTTACAGGAGAGAGAGAGTTTTTTCCCATATGAAAATGGCCGAATCCCCTTAATGAAGGGGTTTTCTTCATTTTATATCAAACTGAAGCGTGTAATCATCATTAAATCCATGGTTTGGTGTGATTGTCAGGATATAATCCGGCTTTATGTCCCATTGCTCTCTTCCCAAGCTGACTTCGCACGATTTATTACAGGGAAATGGACGCGTGTAAGCTCCATATCATTTGGCAGGCCTGACGTGTGCGTGTTGCTCTGACGGGAGCAGGTCACCCTTCACGTGACTCTCCCACGTCAGTCCTTTAGTTTCCCAGGCCATAACAATTGACATAAAACTCTCGAACATGATTCACACAAGCACGAAGGAGTAATACCAGACAAAGCTTACAAATTAGAATTTAATGCAGTTTACACATTCGGATATGCTCCTTCCTCCATTTCTAAGTGCTCGGTTACTTTGATTGAAAATCTTTGAAACAAATCATCCATGATGGCTTTCCCAAAATGATTTACAAGAAGTGACTACTGCTGCTCTTGAACGATCTGCAACTTGATTGCCTCCCGCGTACTTGTCTAACTCTAAACCTTTTTGTTATCATTGTCAAAGTTTTGGAACCAACTTAGAAGGAATGTTTGAAGCTGATGGATGTTAAAGGATCCTTCTCTCTCAATAATATGCCTTACTTCTTCAGCAGATGGTGCATAGAACGGCATATATATAAAATAATGTTATGATCTCAGCTGGCATAACATATAAATGATTGTTTTTGTAGAAACCATAGTTTTGTTATTATTATTAGAATGCCCACATCAGAGAGATTGTTGCTTACGCTCACTAATTAGCTCATGCTTAAAAGTTAAAACCATGGTTTTAAAACCTGGACCGGATCGATCAGTTTGACCGGTCACCAACCCCTTCTCTGGTCCGAGGACACTCTAAACTCGATTTCAGCCATTAGCTCGGATTGACCGCAGTTGAACTGGCGGAACAGTGTTGAGCTGCCATTTCAATTGCCGGGTCAAAGAACCAATCAACTCTCTCTGACTATTTTGCTATTTTCCGACAGATTTTGCATCCAAAATCACGGAAAACACCTTCAAACCAACCCTTTTTTGGCCTGATTTCGTCATCCTCACCTTTGCCAAATCCGGGTTTCTTCTTCGTGCTGCATGACCTTTAGCCGTCCACACCATATCGTCCACTTAGCGCCGACACCATCTCACCAGCTTGCCATCTCCACCAGACAGCTCCCCTCGTTTATGGTGGGTTTGTTGTAGGGGCGTTCAAAAACTGGTTTTTCGATTCGGGAAAATTCCCGAACTGAAACTGAACCGGTTTGGAGGGAAAATCGATTTTTCCTTTTTTTTTTTAATTTTATCCTAAATTAAATTGTAAATATAAACAATACATATCCAAATAAAAATTAAACATTCATACATATCCATTGACCACAACTAATAATACATTAAAAATTGATACAAATAAAAGTTCGAAATGAAATTTTTTTTATTTAATATATAATATATATATTTATTTTTATTTAATATATAATATATATATTTGTAAAACCGGTTCAAAAAACCGGTTTCGGTTGACCTTTTTTATTTTTTCCCAAACCGGTAACCCAACCGAAAATCCAGTTTTTTGAATTTTTTGAACTGTAACATAATCGTTTTTTCGGTTCGGTTCGATTTTTGTATTTTTTTTAACACCCTTAGTTTGTTGTGGCAGATGGTGGTGTTTTGTGGTGGATTAAGTTTTTCGTGGGGACATGGTGGTGATTTGTCTAGCGTTGTAGAGGCTAGGGTTTCTTGGCCAGATTGTAAAGGTGTGTTTACTAGATTTCAAACCTGTAGAGACTGATGTGTAATTTTTCAAGGGTCTATCGTTAGTTTTTATACCAAGGTTTCACGTTGATGTCATCGGTCTGAGCCACCTGTTAGACCACACAACCCAAGGATCGGCCCTTTAACCAGGCCAAGGCTCGGTCCAACTATTAAAACATTGCTTAAAACATAATTTACACATTTTCCTCCAAAATGATAAGTGGTCCCATCCAATATGAAAGGGGACTTTATTAAAGTAGATTTGCTCGTCTTCTCCTTAACCAAACAATTAATTCGACTAGGGGACAATCAAATCGAAGAGACACCTTTGGTCCTTCAATTCTTATCGTATTTCGAATTTTTCATTAATTGGTGAAAATAAGGGCGTTGACTCTATTGATTTTTCGAGGCAACGTTAACTAAGGTGAAATCCTATTTATTGCAATATCTAAATCAAAATATAATATATAGCTGCCATTATTGTAATTCTCAAGAGTCCTTTTAATTAACTAGCTAACAATCAATACCCGAACACTTGTATCCTTAATGCACACAGAAAAAGTGAGAGTTATCTCGAAAACCAAATCATTTGCAACCATCCCTAATAGCTCGCAAAGACTAGGGTTGTGTTTATCATCAGCCATTTGTGGAAGGACCATACGGCCTCCAGTTTTCAACTCTTCCAACCGTAATTTGAGGAATAATGTAGAATCATTCTCAGATTGATCGGAGTACGCCTTGTGAACATAAACATCTTTCTTCACCATCTATCTTGCACTGAGGTCGGGAAGATAATAGATGTCTTTTGTAGTTTGTACTCGGTAAAAATTAGGCTAATTGGGGTTTATCAAGTGATTTAGCTATGGAGAGTGATGGGACGAGGCAGAGGTGACTGGTTAGGGTGGGGCTGGGAACTGGGAGCTGGGGTTAGTTTTTTTTTTTTAAATGTTTTTTTTATTATATTACCTAATTTTTATAGATACTGTGTTTTAACTTTAACTTTATTATTTCTTTTATCTTTTAATTTATTATTAAATTAAAAAAAAGAGTGATGGCATCCCACTTTTTATATCAGTTGATCCCAATTATTATTTTCTTCTTAATTACAGTTTTATCCTTGATGAAAATTACTAAATAGACTTAAAAGTATTTTATGCACAATCTATTTAGAATAAATTTTCTGCTATTAATATTAATTTTCTACTTCCTTTTCTACATTATAAACCCTAACTTTATTTTGAAATAATCAAGATGAAATTATTTTGGTCAATACCATATATGTGTTGAATTTTTTGGGTTTATTTCATCATATTTTATTGTTTCTAACTTTACAAATTTATTAGTTTGTTATTTAAAAAAAAAAAAAACCACCGCATGTGATGCCATTTGTGCCAATATGCACAACTGTTTATATATTTGATTGATATGTTTTTATTTATTATATTACCTAATTTTTATATCTACTGTGTTTTAACTTTTACTTTATTATTTATTTTATCTTTTAATTTATTATTAAATTAAAAAAAGAGTGATGGTATTGGCCCCCACTCTTTATCTCAGTTGATCCCAATTATTATTTTCTTCTTAATTACAGTTTTATCCTTGATGAAAATTACTAAATAGACTTAAAAGTATTTTATGCACAATCTATTTAGAAAAAAAAAAAAAAAAAAAACAAAATCTCACATCCCAAAAACGACGTCGTTTTGGTAGGTTTTTACAAAAAATTAAAACAAATCTCGTTCAGTCGTTCTTCTTCAGTTCTTCGGAAATCAGCAGTTCTTCTTCCTCAGCTCAGGCTCAGTGCTCGTGAGAGAATCCAATTGAAGAGCTTATTCAGATGAGGAAGGCTTCTCAGGCTCAGTGCTGGTGGGAGAATCCGATTGAAGACCTTAGTTTGCCATAGCTTGAGCAGTTAAAAGCGGCGCTAAAGGAGCTGAAGAAGAATGTGGCAAAGCAAGCTGAGAAGATTATGATCCAGAATTCTGGTCCTCCACAGTTTCTTGGAGCGAGTTCATCAAGTGGTGGAGGGATTAATCTTCCATTTGATCTTCAGTCTGCTGGCTTCAATCTTAATATGTTGCCTCCTCATGGATATAATCATCCTGGATTCAGACGTATTTTACTGAAATCCTTGATGGTTTAGAATGTTGAAAAGGGCATCTGCCAGAACATAATTTGTTTAGTTTATTCATGCCTCAGGGTGTTTGAGTCTTTAATTTTATTTATCATAGTGTGTCTGTCATTTGGTTTGAAACATGTTTGGTTTCTTTTAATATTTTATTTATTTGCAGCATTGTATGCCATAAGGTTAGTCTCATGGTTATCTTTTAAGTATGGTATGAATAAAA